TGAGGTAGAAAGTCTTGGGACAATAAAGGGACAGCACCCTTGTTCCAGGCTGACTCCTTGAGCACAGTTAAGTTACTGGGGCATGCTTCTAGACTCAGAGAACTTCCCTGATCAGGGGCAAACAAAGGGGCTGCCAAGAGATAGTAGCAGTGAGCCTCCAAAAGAACCACACCAGGACAGAGTGACAACAGGGATGTGGTAACAATCTACAAATATTTGAAGGCCGCACACAGGCAAGATGCTGGGGGATTATTTATGAGGGTAATCATTAGAAGCCACTAGCTGAAGCAAAGAATCATCAAAGACACTTCCTGACAGCATAACCTATTATACTGTGGAATAATTATTGTGGAGGAAGCTGTGAAATACCCACCATTTGTGACATTTAAAACTAAACTGGACAAAGTAGTAGAAAATGTACAAAAGGGAAACATACTGTAATGGAAGGAAGAAGGGTCTAATGTCTTTTCCATATTTATCTTTTATGATTTTGTAAACATCAATAAGCACAATGACAGAAAAGGGATAGAAGACCCATGTGGTATGAGATGGAGCCATGAGGTATAGGATGAAATCAAACAACCAGGAAGCATAAAGAAGGGCATAGAAGACAGAAAAGGGGAAGAAAGAGCTAACCAGATGCAAAAATCTATCTGAAGGACTGTTTTACACTTGATCTCCATCTATTCTAAACCATAGCATTGTCATTTATTGCACAACTGAATTATGTGGTGCTTGGTGCTTAAGATTTACCCACTTTTTATGTATAAACAACCATGTTTTTGAAATATGAGTCTCTCACTAAGAATTTATGATGTTCTCAGCAGTTTGTCTGAATCTGAGTGATAAAAGCTTGGGGATAGAAAGAGGAGTAAATTATCATCAAAATCATGGAGAAATCTACTTTTCTAGTGTGCAGAAGTAAACAGTCTCAGGGTCTGTCAGAGTTTGGACTTGCAAATAAGTCCTCAAAGAAAACAAATATAGGAAATTTGGTCTGCTGCATTTTTCATAATTTAAATAAATGTTCCCACTATTTTATTTTATGTACATTAGAATATTTATACGTACATTTTACATATATTGATGGTTGCCACCATTTCAGTCACTGGAAATCATGAAACTGAATGGATTTTAATGGGAATTGATGGGGCTGGAAGTCCTTGAGGGCATTCTAGGAAGTTGCCCTTCTACAGAACATAAAGGGGGTTTCTGTAAGAGATAGCCCCATTTCCTGCATATTTTAGGAGCTCTCTAGCTGTGAGGAAGTCAGCAGGACAGAGAATATCTCAAACTTTGATGGTAGCAGAAATACACATATACTGACAAAACCTTAACCACATGAAAAGTTCCTTTGGCTTCAGTGGACCTAATATGCTAGTCGTGTGCTTAAAGTTAGACATGTGTTTACGTTCCTTGTTGGATCAGGGCCATACTCCAATTCTGAACATACCTGGCTTGCAAGAACTGTAAGGACAAATAGCATTTCGCAAGAGGACCTGTGTATTTGAGTCAAGGGATGATCTTGGACAGAAGGGGCCAATATTCATATCCTAACATCCAATCCCAAAGTTGGATACATAGTATACACAAATAAAAATTACATTCCTCCAGGGTAAACTCATACCATCCATTTCATGGCTAAAAACTTATGTTGTAATTGGCATCTACCTCACTTGGGATTTATACACAGACTTATCAACTGATGAAGCAGCTCCAGAGTTGGAGCCAAGGAGAATACCAAGATATAGTGGACTAACACCCCAGAATGTGTGAGGCTTACACACACACATCAGTAGGAGTCAAACCTCTAAATCAACTTTCTAAGAAACCTTGTCATGTGAAATGAATGTAACATATACATTCACACACACACAGCCTGGAGTGATAGACCATCTCCCTTGTAAAGCACAAGACACCTGTGGTAGTAGCTGTAAATCCATACATAACAAGATGTCTTCTAGCCCTGGTCAAGGAGATCAGTGTGGTTCATCAGACCAGGCATTATACAGATTACTAAACATTGGCTTTTTCTTAACCCTTAATGTAATTCATATTTGAACACAAAAGATTCTGGGGGAAACTGTACAATATTTTAGGACGGAAAACTTTTCTGATCTTCATATTCTGACCAAATATAAAGTATTGCTCCAGCAAAAAAGAAAGCAACAGGACCTTGACTAAGCATATTGTGAAAATTCTACTGCCACTGGGCCCAAGACTTGCAGAGTTGCCTCTGCACTTGTACAGTTTAGAAGCATATTGGTCTATTCTTATCACCAGGGCCAAGGAGTTTCTCAAATGTGTGGCACTAACAGGAGTAGAAAGCTAATGAAGTACTTGAAAAAAAGAAAAAAGATAAAGATATTGTAGAGGTAGAATGCAATGGAGAGGCAAAATGTGGTACAATATATATACAGACAGGTAGGTGAAATAGGTAAAGAGACATAATAAAAAGAAGAAATTATGAAAAATGTAAGTTAAAATAAATTATGGAACTTAAGAAAA